TACTGAACCACAGCCGTGTGCCTTGTAAGGCTGGCAGAAGCAGCGCAATGGCAGTCGGTTTATGTATGTCCTTGCTGTGGCGAATCTGTAGGACGCGCTCCTCCTATCTGCGCCCCGGATCCGCCACGGAAAACGAAAACCGTGGAACCGGCCGCAAGATGGATGGAGTCTCGCAGGACCACACCACAATTCAGTATTGAACAGAGGCACAAATCAGAATGTCCATGGTATCTGGACTGAGGTTCCATCTCGGGTCTCGTTGAGATTATCATCTGATGTGGCTTCATTCAAGTATCCCGGGGTATTTCCCCTCTTCATGGTCATCCACACGTCTGTGAAGGCTCGAATCCTCCCCTGCTTTTGCCCTCTTGCTGGAGTAAGCTTATTCCTAGCCTCATCACACCAAGTGGTCATCAGTACTAATGCCGAAGAATTAGAAGGGTATGGGAATCGTGGCGGATGGTGGAGTTGAAGAACTATTGCGAGGGAAATTGGTTCCGTGGTTGACGACTGCCGGAACTCAAGGCTTTAGCAGAATGCCACACACAATGCGTGATTCGCCTAGACAGGTCAATGCATGCGGCTTTCTTCCGTTACACACATGCCCTGTCTCCTTGTGGAGGAACGGAGCAGCGGCGTAGATACAAAATATACCTACAACTCACAGACATAATTACGGCTTGGACAAATGGTAACGTGACCAGCTTTAAAAAAAAAGTTTCTTTGGTAGGCGTTCTTCTCTTATTTACAAATTTTACACACCAGAATGCACGATGGAAATCGGATGCGCCACTCCCTTTTCAAACTGTCAGGCCTATCTCGGACGCAAAAGGAAGTCTGAACAGGTCTCCCACTGCTGATACCGATGCTTTCGACTCCAGCAAGCTCTTCGCCGCCTATACACAAGTTAGCTAATTGTAATTCACAAATGGCCGTGCCGCGAAACTTACCGCCTTGACCTTGTCTGAAGAAACCTTGTCGATGGAAGAGCCAATCTCATCGATCTGGAATGGTTTCCCACCCTCGATAAGTCCATTTCCGGTTGCTTCCAGACCAGCCTGGGTCTGCTGTCCAGCCTCGAGAGCCCTGAATTTCGCCAATGCAGTGGCCTTCTTGATGTCTTCTTCTGCCACTTCGCCTGCTGCAATCTTTTTGAGTGTGTTGACTGCATTCTCGCTTGCTTTGGCAATTTGAGCCGCATTCCCGGTGAAGGTAATGTAGAGCAGACCAGCGTCAGAATAAGCGGCATGTTGAGTTGACACTTGGACTTGTGGGAAGTCGTGTGCGGCTTTAGACAACAAGGAGAAGCCTGGAGACCATTTGATGCTGCTTTCCCCTCCGAGTAAGGAAGCCAGGACTGCAATTTCTGGTTTGTACGAGGACCCAGCGGTGAAGGAGCTGGAGCCTTGGAACCCGATAATCAACACATTACCCGAGCCGTGAGCGATTCTCTCTTCACCGCCGTAGTATTTCGAAGCAGGACTGTTCAGTTTGGAACCAGCCGGAGTGTCTTGGAAGAACTCGCCCACCCATTTGGAGAATTCAGCGTGGCTTGCACCGTTGGCAACAACGGCAATGTTTCCTTTGACGTAGGCACTGTCACTGAATTTCGCGACGTCCTCAGCATCAAGATACTGGATGATCGGAACCGATGAGGTGGCATATAATGGCTCGCCCAAACCGCGGTGGAAGGCAACACCATGAACGGAATTCAGTGCGAGGGACAGAGGGCTTCCGAGGAGACCTTTTTGTGCGAGTTTCATAACGTGGATCACCTCTTCATTGAGTTCATGCGCTGTACATCGTCAGCCATCAGGTTCCAATCATAATCCGCAGGGGGACCAACTCGTGTATCGGGTTTTTGATATGACTTCTCCCAGCAATTCGGTAAAATAAGGCAGGTCTTCACGCAGGAATTTGGCTCGAAGGACAAGATTCTCTCGGGAATGGTACGCCGACAACTCACCACCCAGAAGCTCGGCCTCTCGGGTAATGCGCAGAGTTGATCGTTTCGTGGTAGACTAATTTTTCAAGTCAGCTGGGAGATCCATCGACGTGACAAAGATCAGAATGGACCTTGAAAGCAAACTTTTCGAGAGCGTCGGAATAGCCAGGAAGGGGCTGATATCTGGTACCGGCTTTGGCGACGACAGTCAGAGTAGTCGTTGCACCTGGCAGGTCTCTGCTGGCGAATTTGACACCCGACGCTTCCCCCGTCTCATATTGAAAGCTGCCAGACGCAGCTGCGGCCAGACCTCTCCGCTGCAGAGAGGTGACGGGAATATGACGACTGCTAGCTCGCAGGGCTCGAGAGCCAAGCGAGGCTGGAGAAGCCATTATATAAAGTGCCACGTAGTGAATGGAGAGAGGTGGTGATATGACAGATGCAGTCGAACAGGAGCTTCGGATGGAGTCAAGCTTCAATTGATTCTACAGAATTCACATTCGCCATGATTGGTCAGATGGACATAGCCATTCATATTGTACTATTATGCCAAGTCTCTTTCCAACGCCCCGCATTGGATGCGCTCCGTCCCTTGGAATTTCTTTCAAGACTCGCTGCCAGCCTTGTCTCCAGCAGAGTTTCTTCCCCCGATCTCTCTGCGCAGAGTGAGCGGCGTGCAGTTCTTTCTTCATCGACATTTGTTGCCATCTCAATAAAAGATGAGGTAGCGAACAAACTCGCCGACGCCAAGCGAAACCCATAATAAAATCAAATCCTCCGATCCTTCTGTCAGGAGTCGGTCTGTGTTGGAGATGGAGGTAATTGCAAATACCTTGGACAGGCGGTGGTATTTGATCAGCTGAGTTGTGGTAGGACTTCTCGCAGCTTTGCTGCAGCATCGTTGAAGATGCCTATGGCACATTTCTTGCTGTGAGGAATTACTCCCTTGACTGGTGTGTCGCCGGAAGAGACTGATGTGAATGTCAGCAAATCTTTCGACAATTGGCTCAAGTAGGTCGTCTTTCTGTCAACCAAATCGCTCAAAAATGTCGTCTTCCCCTCCGCCACGTCAAAGCCGGCATAGCAAGCTTGGTACAGCTACGGCTCATCTACCACCACACCTCTGCAGAGGGGCTGTCGACCTATCAGGCGAATACTAACAACGCATACAACATCATGCGTACTGGTAGACTCATTGAACTTGTTGAGTGGAGGTTCGGCTCTGCAAGTGCTGATATTATGGAACATCTGGCTGCACTGGGGTTTGCTACCGCCTGTGAGCTAGAAGCACACGTCTTGGGAGATGCGGACTCGTCAAAGTTGATGGACAAGAGTCGTTTTCGAGCTCTACTAAAGCAACTGATCACTTCAAACTTTATTCTTACGCCCCGCGAGGCACATTTCCATGCACCTTTTGATTCTCGTCTGGATGCAGAACGCTACTTACGTGGCCATGGCATGCTCCAGCAAGGAACTGCGAAGAAAATCAAGGCTGAGGGCGATGCAAGGGTTGACGCCGAGCTCGGGCAGCGTCTCGATGGAAAAGTTTCTTGGCCACAGGTTCTGCACGAGCTTGAGGCGAGCTCTAGCCGGGTATTGACTTATTAGCGCTTTCTGCTACGTTCACCACTAATTGAGGACAGGCCGATATCTTACTCTCGGTCGATTATTCGAATTTGGTTCTTCACATCCGCAATGAAAGGGTAGCAGAAAATGCAGAAAAGATTTTCGGCCGACTCACGGCAGAAGTTGCTCGAGCAGCATGTTTACAGCTAGAAGACCTCGACTCACGACCCTTGAAACTACGACTGTCGGACATTCCTGGAGAATCGTTGCAGAGACTAGACATCCCCCAGATGAGCCGCTCTATCTCTATCTCTTCCGAAGGTCGACCAGCAATGAGCAATGGGGACAGCAATGAAAATGGTTGGCACGCTGGTGGAAAACTTCTGAATGGCCATCATGAGAACAGAGTCAACGGGACGAGTACCGATCATCAATTTATTGAATACCAGCTAGGTGTGTTGGCAGAAGGACCTTTTGAGTTCATCTTGAGAGATTCTGTCGCCAAATCTTGGATAGTGGACAAGAGCAAACTCAACAGTTTTCTGTGGGATAAGGAGATGCTACGGCTTATCAACGAGAGCGTGAGCGAACCAGCGCTCCGGATTGTCCGCATGCTGGCTGATAAGGGCAAGCTTGATGAGCGAACAATGCAGGACATTGGTCTTCTGAATGCAAAAGAGCTTCGGAAATCACTGGCACAACTGCAGATGAAAGGCCTCCTCGAGCTCCAAGAAGTACCTCGAGACCCTCAAAGACAACCCAAAAGCACAACCTTCCTCTACTTCTACGACCCTGAAAGAGTGCAGAAGCTCTTCTTAGACAGACTGTACAAAGCCATGTCAAGATTGTACGAGCGCCTGCGGCTGGAACGAGAGAAGCTCGCGTCGACTCTGAGCAAGGTTGAACGGAGTGACGTCCAAGGAAGCGAAGAGGAAATCCTGTCGCCGGGGGAATTGCAATTGTTGCTGCGCTGGCGACAGAAGGAGTGTTGGTTCATGACGGAGATCCACCGGATAGATGCCTCCGTCGCCATGCTTCGAGACATATGACTCCTCGCCGATGAAAAATCATCAAGTTGGCAGAATGACCGGGGACCCCAAACAAGCTCTGAGGTTTACCGATGGTCTTCTCGTTATATTTGTGCTCTACTCTCAGATTCTGGGTCCACCGGTTACAGATACCGTGCTAGTTTTTAGTTTAGCCAATACTACTGAAGGAGAGCCATCGTTGGAGACCAAGTCAAATCCTTCCACTTAGGTAGTAATCAATAGCCACGCCGAATGCAAGGTGACAGGTCACCAAATAAGAAAAAGGGAGGACAAGGCTGATAGGGCACGAGGCTGAGGGTCGCATCAATGTTGTTCCGGGAGGAATCCTTGGCAAGAGCTCGGAGCTTCTCTTGCCCTTGCTGCGCAGTTTCCTCTCCCCCATTGATACCAACACAGAGCTTCAGTTCTTCTCAAACACTCGCCCCCAGTCAATCATCACCATGGCTTTCGAATGGAAGGCTGCCGGTCTCACGTACGTCGAGTTCCTCACCCCGTTTTTGCCCGGGTCCGGCTAACGTTAACAGTTACAACCGATATCTCGCCGTTGCCGCCAGAGTCGTCCGCAGATCGTTGAAAGAAGGACCTAGACTTCAGGCTGAGAAAAGAGGAGAGATGGACTTGAGATTCGCAAAGTGGCAGGTGAGCTCACGCCCTGAACTCGACCAAACCCGTTTCCGACTGACACCGAGAAGAACGGCAAACAAGGCGAAAATCAGAGTCTGAGTGCTGCGAATGCGGGTGCTATGGCTGAACATGCTACTGGGGAGGCAAAATAGAAGGAGAAATCAGCGTCCAGCACGCATCAATGGGAAAAGGAAACTTTCTGAGAGGAGCCAAAAAATCAGACTTGTACATATTACACCAAAGACTTCACGGTGAAGCTTGAAGCGTGCCCGCAGATGTGCACATGACATTTCCCAAAGCCTGTAAAAAATCCCCGTGTCATATAATCTTTTCAACTTCGCATTCACACGACCTTGACCTTCGCACTCTAAATGCCCCTCTGCACAACTGATGACTACACGTTGATTGTCTCGCCATTCCTTCGATCTTGCCCGGCCTCATTCTGCGCAGTATCGCATAAATTTTCGCAGTTGACTCGTGCCGCCACAGGAAGGTCTGTCGACTGATGGGCAGTGGGCGCATTGTTGTATCTCTTCTCCCATTCCACTAGAAGGGAGCGGCTGTCATGGTTCAATCCCAACTTGTTCACCCCAATGTCCAGATAACTGAAATAACGAGAGAGTTCTGCCGTGCTGCATCGAGTCAGTCTTGCTTGAGCTTCTCTTTGTCTCCAACGTGGACTGACCGGTACATAGAACTAGCCGCGGGCAAGCTAGTCAAAGATGAGCACTTCACGCTATATGAGGCCGTCAGCGCCTTGGAGGTTTGTCTTCCCTTCTCTAGGGTCCGAAGTAGGCATGACTCTGATCAGGCGACCAGATCGGTGATCCGAAGATGGACAGTGGGTGTACCGCTTTCGACGCGGAAAGCGATGAGGAGTTCGACCCTGCCAGGAGCGTATCCGCGGAGGAGATAATATGGTTGATGGATCAGTTGATGTATCGCGAGGTAAGCAATTCTGTCTTGAGGTATGGAACGATGGTGTGACTTCCGACAGGTGGCATGGCATATGGGATACCCTCTGTCCCAGACTCTCTTTACATCCATACACATTGAACGACTCCTCTGGCCCCAACCAAAACAATTCTCTGACGCTTGCTTTTGGAGAGATCGTCCCAGTACCAAAGATGTGCCTTCACTGCTACATGCCGTTTTTCAGGCCTATTGTGTTGGCTTGATCAAATCTTGTGACCTAGTTCTCTCAATGGTGGCGAGCCAGCATTTTTACGAGGTAGGGTCCGCAGGAATTGCCGTTCTTGTTCTACAGCTGACGATGTGTAGGAGGAGGACTTCGCGCCACAGATATACAATCGGCCTCTTCTACATGACTTCTCCATTGGAGAGGTGATGGACTCGTTGCAGGATGCACGTGCCTTTCTACAAAATAGTAACCTCCCGCAGCCCTTGAAAGGAGCATTGACGGACAGGGTGGACGGACGATCTGCTTTCCTGCTGCTACTGCACAGTTGCGAGCTCCTCGAACGACCTGCCAACTCAACTCTGGAAAGAACTCTGGCTCTGATCAAGGCAATTGAAGAGACATCCATTCTCGGTCGCCCAACCCCAACTGTTTCTTTCACTTTGAAGTTGCAACGGGGTCTGGCAAGCAGTGTGCCTCCAAGACCGATGATAGTTATTGAGAAGGAGAAAGCCTTTTCTTTCTTCCGTCAGCTCGTTACGGACATTACCACGGCATTTCAGTTGCTTGACATAACGTCCAGCAGTGACCTCCTCGTTGCTTATCAGATGTTCATGGCGCAGACGTCGCAACCTGCGGTGTATGCTCGAGCCTTCCTACAGTCCTTCTTGAACATTGATAACGCGGTGCTGGGGCGATATGCCATCAACGACTTCGTCAGTGAGGACATTCACTCCCTTACACTTCCTACCGCTCTGTCTTTTGGGAGCAGCAACAGCGAAATTGAAGACATTCCAGATCACCAGCACATTGATCTCCTCGCTAAAGTGGATCTTTTTCTGAATCGCTGCGGACAGTCATTCCTTAATTTTTTTAGGACATACTGTCTGAACCGCTGTCGGGTACGACGCTCAATGTGTCACGCAGCTCTTGAGTGGGATCAGATTCAAGCGGAGGCCGAGGACCTGGACGCGTTTATACAATCGCTCCTGGTTGAGCAGCCCGTTCCTTACCCCAATGGCGAGGAACCCACCTTTTCATACTCCTTCAGCAGTTGGGTATATCACTACAAGCTGATACAACTTCGCACCATCCTTCAGATGGGATTTGAACTTTCCGTGTATGCTCCGCACGAATTTGCCGAGATGTACTGGTATCTCTCCTTTCTATCCAACTCGCACCTCTCTCACCTCGAAAGAATCAGCTTCTTTGTGTCCTCGAGTCGACATGTGGATGCACGCCGGCGAGACGAGGTAGAAGTTACTCTGAAGCGATTGTACCACCATTTCACTTGGCTCAAGGCCACAGAGGCTCTCGCAAAAGCTCTGCACCGCGTCTTCGTCATCATCCAACGCCATGGTCATCTTCACAAGCCTTCACCCGCGTACGCATCAGACCGCTTACGGTACGAGCTGAGGATGCGACCGTTTCTCAACCTCTCCATTCCCGAACCCGTCGACTTTGATGTGGCTCAGCAGTCCTGCTCGTTACAGGATCTACCTGATGCGTCTGTCCTCGATCAGGCAACCAATTTGGTACAGACCGCAAGAAAAGCATGGGAGGAAGTTTTGAGGAACGGCTGGGAGTCCACGCCTCCCCGGCTCGCGGATCCCAAACCTGGAACTGGGGCAGCAGGGAGAGTCAAAGCAGTCGCACCGATAGTAGATGGCGAATGGACACAAGACGTGCGAAACTCTATGAAGTCATGTATAGGCACGGCGATTGCGATAGCTTCACTAAGCAAAGCTCTACAAGCCACGGGCAAAAGTACCACAGGCGGCGGCATCTCGAGTCTGAAGGTGGAAATTCCGCCAGTCGGTGATCGCGATCGCTGGCATGTAGCATGGCCTGTACCCAAGATTTCCAGCTGAGGTTGGAGGCGACCAAGCAGTAAATACCATACAATTGAACACATTCGACGACTCTCATCATAGATGATTTCATGATTGCTGTGAAATTGCCATCATTGTGAGAGAAGTGACGGCTCGACCTCGACGGATCCGCAGGCTGACCGCATCCACTGGTCGCAGTCTCCAACTTGTCTGGTGAACAATTTTTTCCCCGCAAATATTTATTTCTCACCAAAAGATTTCCACGTCCACAATCCTGGGCGGTTTCCTACTCCCTCTAACGCTTCGCTCTTTTGTCATGGCGTCTGCATACAAATCAGCACTGCGGTCAGGCGACGCTTCTGACTCCGATGAAAGTGGCTCAGTCTCATCCGCAGGAAGCAGCGCAACCCTGCGCGCTGAATCCTCGAGCGGAGAAGAAAGTGTCCCAAGCAAGAAAAATGTCAACGAACTCTCTCAACTGCCTCGCGAGATTCGGAATCGAGTCTTGATGCTCACTTCTCGTGGCGTCTCATACAGGTATGTTCCGGCAGCTCACGTTCTTCTATGGCTTGTCACTAACGTGCCTAGACACCGGCATCTTCTCAATGACCTTCATTCCTTGCTTCCTCACACTTACAAAGATACAAAACTCGATACAAAATCGTCCAACAACTACAACTCCGCCCTCAACGGCCTGGCTGATCTTCATTCCTGCAATTACGTCTTCTTCTTGGAAGCGCGGAAACATGGTCAAGACCTGTATCTATGGCTCGCGCGTGCGCCCAACGGACCCACGGTCAAATTCAGCGTTACCAATTTACACACAATGGCTGAGCTCGGCTTTGGAGGAAATTGCTTAAAAGGTGGGAGAGGCATCGTTGTCTTTGACAAGAGTTTCGATGAAGAGATCCCAGGCCAGGAGTATCGCTCGCTGTTACGGGAGATGTTTCGTGGTGTCTTCTGTGTTCCCCCAAAGGGTATCCGCGCCATGAAACCATTCGTTGACCGTGTCATTGGTATTTACGGGCTTGACGGAAAGATTTGGATTCGTGTGTATGAGATCCGTGAGTCCGCACCAGACAAGGCCGACAAGGAGCGTGTCCAAGGAGATGACGTCTCTCTGGTTGAGATCGGGCCTCGTTTTGTCCTCACGCCGGTCGTCATCCAGGAAGGCAGCTTTGGTGGTCCGGTCATATTCGAAAATAAACAGTTCGTGAGCCCTAATGCTCTGCGGGCCGAGACGAGGATGCGCAGGGCCAACAGATACGCGAGTCGAAGAGGTGGTGCGGAAGAGCTGGCTGTCAAGAAGAAAACCCTGAGTCTAAATACAGGAGCGAAGAGAAAGAGATCTGCACTCGACAACGCGAAGCTGTTTGGCTGAGTGAGAGAGTTTGCGACTTTGGCAACATGCCGGCGACAAGATAAGCTCGCCTCAGACCTCCCACAGTACCTTCTCTGGCACCATCCCTGGCACCCCCGAGAAGGACCAGATCGATGGGATGTGGATAATATGGACGGACTCAGCAAACTTATCACAGTACAATCCCCATGTATCCGTGCTCAGAGCTCTCTCAAGTGCCATGAGTATTCCTGGCCATTTTTAAAGCTCACGATGCGCCAAAAGCACTCTTCCGGTCGCCACAAGCTACTACAAAAATTCAAAATCGCTCTTCGTTTGGTGAGTCAAACTTCTGTCAGAAGTAAGCAATCACAAACAAGCACTCCTTGTCGTCCTTGGCTAAAGGACTGTCGGGCGCTAGGGCCGTCGAGACTATGTCCCTCGTACAAGAGAACTCCCTTACTACTACACGACTAAACGGAAGAAGGCGACTCGGGAATGGATGTACGATCTCACAAGGACTACCAGCCCAGGCAAAAATTGGCGCTGGTGATACCTTTTGGAAGCCATTCATTTTGGGTTCAGGGAGCGTGAGAAGCTGCCCACAAGATTATTGTCAGACATGAATTTCTCCATCAAGCCAAATGCGATGGTTTCCAAATGCAGACGATTCCTAAGAGCACGGATCGAGCCAGCGGCCTCAACAGACCGAGTGATACCTAGACGCGCCTACCCAGCCTGAGCAAGTTCTCCCACGACTGGATTCTGCCAAGCGACTTCATCATTGAGTGCAGTTCCGAGGAGATTTTCTGTTGGAAGGACCATTTGCGGGCAGAGGTCGAGGTATATTCTGACATCTCGTTTGACCGAGTCAAGGTGTCGAATGTCCATGGATCGATCATCTTGATGTAGTGGTCAATTTGAGTTGTACCGACTCACTATTTGAGAAATGTCACTTTAATGTCACTTTATATTCCTTGGTAGTTTCTCTATCGAAAACTGTCATTGCCCCTTGTTTGATACCGACAAGTAAATGTATTCGAGACCTCTTTAGATGAAGTACAACGATGTCAACCGGTGAATGAAGCATCCTTTAGTGTCTATGTGCTTGAACTCTACAGTAACTTCGGTGCCCGCTAAATCCGCCCTTATTAGCCGGAATTTTTTAAAATGGTGCAAAGAGGTTCGGAAATGCTTTATTACCATAACGTTAGTGAAGTCGGGCTCGGGTCAAGAGTTATGGGTGCTGGCGACCGGACGTCAACGGACCAAATCACGGAAATTGGGAATACTGAGGTAAGCGATTCCGCAAACGGAGGGCTGTACTCGAGGATAGTAATCGAATCAGGAAAGCGGCTAGCCTGATTCGGCCATTGTCTCGAGTGGGGGCCACGCAGGTAAACCTGGGATATCTACATATGCCTATTGTTCAGTAAGTTTGACTAATTTGATGGAGTATTTCTGATGGTGCAGGTCGCTACCGTACGTACGCCATCGTTGACGACTGATTGTTAAGCAGGTTTCCCCCGAAGGCTCAATAATAGGCGAAGAAAGGGCAGCGACAGTATCCATGTATATAACCATGGTGTTCCAGCATCCGGGAGTAACACACATGCAATCTTCTTGATAGTCTGAAGAGAGGTCGTTTGAGATCAAGCATAAATTATACAACTTACCCGAAACAAGCCTCTTTGCGCTGTTGCCTTTCCCTTTTCACCCTAAGTAAGCTAGAGTGAAAGCGGCTAACAGGATGCCAATCAAGTCACCGTTGACGATCGTGCTAGGAACAGCCAATGTAAGAACACCAAGGGGAGGGCTTGATCACATGCTCATCAAACATGACTAGGTTGGAGACAGCTCTCGGGACAAAACTGTCCGTTACGATGCACTGAATGAAGTGAACGCTTACCTCGATGCATTCTACGAGCGTGGCGGACGTCAAATTGATACTGCCCGTTCCTACTCGCCAGAGGCCCATGGCTCGTCAGAGGAGAGACTGGGCGCAGTCGAGGCGGGGACGCGATTCTCAATCGCCACCAAGGTGTTGTCCCTGACACCGGGTAGCCACTCGAAGGAAAAGATCAAGGAAAACATCGACACGTCGTTGTCACTGTTGAAGATACCCAAGATTGATATCGAATACCTGCACTTGCCGGACAGGGCCACATCTTTCGAGGAGGCGCTCGCGGCTGTCAACGAAGCATATACACAGGGGAAGTTCGAACGCTTTGGTTTGTCCAACTACACAGCGGAGGAGGTGGACAAGATTGTCCAGATTTGCGAAGAAAAGGGTTTCGTCAAGCCGAGCGTGTATCAGGGACAGTATAATCCCATCATCAGAAGCGGGGAGAAGGAACTCTTCCCGGTCTTGCGAAAGCACGGTATCGCCTTCTATGCTTGGAGGTGCGCTACTCCCTAACGGCCTCCAGCCCCGAGATTTTCAGAGCTGATATTCAGAACAGTCCCGCAGCCGGTGGATTTTTCGCTGGAAATCACAGGCATGTTCAACCTGGCGCCCGATATGACTCGTCGGTAAGTTTTTCTTTGTTTGATGGCTATCACCGTAAATAGATTGCTGCATGGACCTGCTCCAGCTGACCGGGTATTATAGACTTGGGCTGGTAAAGTCTACGCATCTGTGTATCTGAAACCCAACATCGAAGCCGCCACAGACCGTGCCATCGGACTTGTAGCCAAACACGGCATCAACGGCCACGCTGCAGCGTTGAGGTGGACCGTGTACCACAGCACGCTCAAAGAAGAGTTTGGGGATGCGGTGATCATTGCTGCCTCCAGCGTCGCTCAGCTGAATTGCAACATTGACATGATTGAGCAAGGGCCCCTGCCTGGTGAGGTTGTCGACGCCATGGAGACCCTGTATAAGGAGGTTGAGGGAACAGAGTTCCCCTACCATTTGTAGAGCCTTGCAAGTCAAAGTGTCAAAGTATTAGATAGCAAGCTATACTGGTCAAAAAGACATGTTGGGACATCCAAGCATCACAGCATCTTGTACTGTAAAATAAAAGTACTGTGTGCCCACAAGTGAGGGGGAGAACGAAAGATGTTGTTTTTAAGGTCCAGCCTTGTCTTGACTCATCGGGCTCATCCTAGATCGTGACCGCCAAGCCCCAGACCGCTTTCTTGTCGTCGACTCCAACCTGCGTATAAACATCCTCCCTTACAACGTTCTGTTCCTCGATTCTTCTTTTTTCCTCTCCTCACCCATCGAGCACGGAATGAGAACGCGTTATACTTCCATCTGTCTTCGCCATGATGGAAGCGACGCAGGCTCGCCGCGCTCCACGACAGAGCGGGTTTGGGCGCTTTGATACCTCTCCTTCGCACGTGTACTCGCAGTTGAGACTTGTCTTGGATAACCCCAATGCCGGGGTCTCAATTTGTTGAGACCATCAGAGTGATAGCAGCAGCAGCAGCACCACTGCTGCTCCTTGTATGCCCTAGTCCGCATATATACAGTTCGATTTCCACCAGACACTGTGTGTAACTCCCACCCTGCGGTCGTTCACAGAGCTTGTGCTGACAATCTAGACATAGAATCATGGCACTACAACACCTCGCTCCAGAACTTCTCGTTCGCATTTTCGAATCCCTCTCCTCCGTGTCCGATATTATCAGCCTGTCGCTGACCTGTCACTATTGCTACGACGTCCTCCCCAAATCGCAAAAGCTGGCACTCTTC